TTTGATTGGCTGTGCAGATTTTCAAAAATGTTGCTTTGGTGGCAGCTGCCACCACGGTACAAGGATCTTCCCTGTGTGACTGAAGGTCACCTGCGGCAGCCATTTCATCACTGGCTCCACCTCCTGCAGCAGCCATTTCGTGGCAGCACCTACCACACTGTGTCTGAACTCCAAAGGTTCAAAACGGTTGGGGAACCCCTGATCTGGACCCAGAGGGAAGACCCCCCCCCCATCCTCCTGAGCACACCCATAACTATCAGGAAAGTTTACAGGAAAACAGCCAAGTTTTACCTTTGGCTTCAACAGGAAGTCTTCAAGCTGGACAAGGATAAAAGGGAACGAGACAAGACCCACGAGGAACAGAACCGAGGTACAGCAGAGAGAGGCAAGCAGTTAGGTGCTACAGCAGAGGAGAGAGTTTCAAAAGCAGCCTAGACTACTACCAACCAAGATACACAAGCACCGAAGAGAAGGCTGGGTTGCCTGATAAGGGCTCAGCCTGTAAAAATCCACCTACAGGCCAGCACAAAGATCAGCAACAGATTAGATATAATATATAATAGTATTATATAGGTTATGTAACATATTAAGGCACCTTGAGTGTCAGCAAGGAAAGCAAGATATAGATAGAGTAAACCAACCAAACAAGGCATAAATAAGGAGTAACAGAGGGATGTTGCAAGCAGGGATATCTGCACTGAGAAGTCTACAGGACAGCAGTCGAGGAAGATGCTTAATAGTAAGGGGCGGGGTGGGAAAGGCAGCCAATGCCTTTAGTTACCCATTTGAGCACTTTGCTTAACTGTCCCTTTCCCTACAAAAGCAGCCTAGACTACCACCAACCAAGATACACAAGCACCGAAGAGAAGGCTGGGTTGCCTCATAAGGGCTCAGCCTGTAAAAATCCACCCACAGGCCAGCACAAAGATCAGCAACAGATTAGATATAATATATATAATAGTATTCTATAGGTTATGTAACATATTAACACACCTTGAATGTCAGCAAGGAAAGCAAGATATAAATAGAGTAAACCAACCAAACAAGGCATAAATAAGGAGTATCAGAGGGATGTGTCAAGCAGGGATATCTGCACTGGGAAGTCTACAGGACAGCAGTCAAGGAAGGGTGGGGAAGGCAGCCAATGCCTTTAGTTACCCATTTGAGCACTTTGCTTAACTGTCCCTTAAAGCAGGTCTTCCAGGTACAGATTTTTGTGTCTAACGGTCTCCTACGACTGTTCTTGCTTCATACATGAATACAAAACCACCAACTATTTTCAGTAACTTGGGGGGGGAGAGAAAGAAGGGCTTTTGGGAACAGTGCATTGAGCCATTGCACAAAGACTAACAGTTCTTCACCTATCGCGTAATATTCCCGAGAGGCCCAACACGCCGTAAAATGAGCTGCGCCTCCTTACCTGGCCGCCGCCAAAGCGCTTCCGCAGGTTTTCAATTTGCTCGCTCTCCAGCTTCTGGAAGAGGGGTGTCACCTGACAGGAAATTTGAAAAAGAGTCACTGGCGTGATCCGTGGGATACTTTGTCAAAACAATCAGTATGTACAGGGCTCTACACATTCGATCTGCTCACCACACAAGTACAGGGCTCGGTGCTGGGTATCCTAATAAATCCAGCTCACTCAGCCCATATCTCTTTTCAGAGTTCCTAGTCCTCAGAGTCGCTCGTAATTTTGGGACGACGTAGGCCAGTATCCACTAAAACGTGGGAAAACAAGCTACGGAGGGTAGGTGAGTGACTGACAGGCGGAGATGTCAGTCTTCTCCTACCCCCAGCGCCTCCTGGGTTACTGAAGTCCGTGCCAACAAAGGAGCGGACTGTTCACACAAATCTGATTCAGTTGAGAACTTTGTGAGCTGACTTGGCTAAAATGACGGTCTGTCGGGCACCAAGTTTGTTTTTGGCAGGACTCCCGTAGATGGATCTTGCCTGCATGTAAAGCTTGACTGACGGCTCTGTTGGAAGACAGCATTCCCGACAAGGAAATTTACCTCGTAATCACTGGGCATTTTTATCGCCCGTGGCTTGACTAGGTTGACATCTTTCTCTCTCCTTCTTTCTCCAGTTGTGCTCTGGACTATTAACTGGATCTCACTGAGTTTGGATGCAGATGGTGACTTCTGGCCACCCCCCCCCCACTGCAGCACAAATGTTTTCTGAAAAGCTGCTTCGGGGGGGGGGGTCGGGGGGCATTCTGGGCTGCAGCAGGAGGGGCGGGAGGCAAGGAAGTCACACTCCGCGCAAAAACCCTGCTGTCTCCAGGAAATGCTCCACTGGATCCAAAACATAACCTGCTGGTCAGGAGACAGGGCTAGTGAACAGATGATCCTGTTCTGCAGCATGGAGCTTACTTATACTTGGCTTGGTCCCCCATTCTATGTTTCCACAATGACAGCTTCCTACACGAGGGGATAGGACTCGGTTCGCCATTACACGAGTCCCCAACTTGCAGCCTCAAGTGAAATAATCGAGTAACAGTTACCTCCTCCTTCTCCTCTCCCAAAGGCTTCGGAGCTTTTCAGTTTTGGTGGGGGGAGGGAGATGACTAAACAGCATGTGGAGAGTGGAGAGCATGACAAGAGGCTTATTAAAATTATGCATGGAGGGGGAGGGAAAGGAGAGAACATTTTCTCCCCCCCCCCAAATAGTATCAGAACTTGGGGGAACACAGTGATGCTTCTCGACAGGCAAAAGGCAATATGCTTCCGCTCAACGAGTGATTAGCTTGTGGGACTTATCGCCACAAGACGCAGCCTGCTCAGTTCAGATGGCTTTAAGAGGGGATTCCAGAGACTCATGGAGACTGATTAATTTCATTTATGCCCATCTTTTATCCGCAATGGGGACCCAGAATGGACTACAACATTCTCTCTTCTCCATTTTATCCTCACATCCACCCTGTACGTGCCTGGCCCAAGTGAGAGTACGTGGCTGGCCCAAGGTCATCCAGCGAGCTTCCAGGTTAAACCAGGTTAAAGCAGGGATTCCAACCTGGGTTGCCCAGACACTAATCCAATGCTCTAACCCAGGGGTGTCAGACTCATTTGTTATGAGGGCCGGATCTGACATAAATGAGACCTTGCTGGGCCGGGCCATGTGTGTCATAAAATGCAATGCCAGGTAGCGGAGATATAAACTTTATAAAAGGACACAAACACAAAGGTGGGGTTTTTTACTTAAAATAAAAACATGCTTAGAACATTAGCACTCTTGCAATATTTTGTTTATTTAACAGTGTCTGAAAACTGACACCCCTTGCTCTGAATTACTGCATCAATATGCCTGTGGTGTTGCAATGCTGAGTATGCTGTTCAGGTGTGTATCTGTAAGCTGCAATCCTACAATGATGCAGCAGTAGCAGAATTGGAGGAAGAAGCAGAAGACAGCCAGTTCCACTGCGGTCCTGGTAGAAGCCCTCTGGGGGCCTCATCCGGCCCCCGGGCCACATGTTTGACACGCCCGCTCTAACCACCACTACACCACACTGGCTGTAACCACACCACCACACTGGATAGGGCCAAAGGCATGGAAACTTCCATGTTCAATGGCAGTGACTTTCTTGTCCTCTTGGATAGCCCAGGCAAGTCCAATCTGGTCAGATCTAGGAAGCTAAGCAGGGCTGACCCTGGCAAGTACTTGGAAGGGTGACCTCCAAGGAATACCAGGGCAGGGATACAGCGGCAGGTAATATCAAAGCCTGAAATGTCCTAGCCCCACTAGAGGTCACCCGAAGTCACCATCACTTCCAGGCACACAAGCAACCCCCCAAGCCCCTCCCCCAAATTCTTGTCCTCCGTGGTCTAATCAGAGATCTTCCAGAAGCAGACATTTGGCCACTGTGCAAAAGAGGGCACTAAGATTAGACTGTGTGCTGTATTGTTTGTGGCTCACTGTGCGAAAGAGGGCACTAAAAGATGGACCAATGGCTTGATCCTGCAAGACTGCTCTTTATGTCCTCATGCCGCTTGCAAGAATTAGGCCTTTGCTTTAGCCTTAGGGCCTCTGCCCCGTAGCACCTACCGTTCCAATCTGGTGCCCAGCCGGCAAGGTACAGACAAAGTCATTTGTCACAACGTTGTGAAGGAATGCAGAACTGCCCTTGGATGGCAGTGCTCACGCTGGGCATGTACGGCTGGACCATGACTGACAGCAGGGCGGCGATGTTGACGGCCACGCCGATCACGGTGCCCGCCCGCTTCCTGGGGAGGTGAAAGAACCCTGATCAGCTACAGGACAGCGAGGGGAAAGAACCCTGCTGCTGGTTAACGTGAGCATCCCCCGAATGCAGCACTGCTCTGTAGCTCAGCCCCTCCGAAGCCTCTGCCAATGTGTCTGATCAGGAAACGACAAAGTTACACATCTCTTTGCAAGCTTGTCCGGGCTTCTGGTTCTCCAGGCCTCAAGTTTCACGGTAAATCTCTCCTCTCTGGCTCAGCTTGCCTCAGTCCTTCCTAGTCTAAGAAAGCACAGACTGGCGCAGGAAAGGGAGATGCCGGACTCTGGGACAGACGTGGGGATGAGTTTCCCAACAGAAGGATCTAACTGGGAAATAACTGAGGGATAAGAGGCGGGGCCATAGCTCAGACGGTAGAGTATCTCCTTTGCATGCAGGAAGTCCCAAGTTCCATCTCCAGCATCTCCAGCTCTAAGGATCAAATACCAGGTGATGTGAAAGACCTTAGCCAGAGACCCTGGAGAGCAGCTGTCAGTCTGAGTAAACAATACTGAACTTAATGGACTAACAGTGCAATCCTAAGGACAGTTACTCCAGTCTAAGCCCATTCATATCAATGGTCTTAGACAGGAGGATCGCTCCTTAGGATCGCTCGGTAAGGGTCTGATTCAGTATAAGGCAGTTTCACAAGTAGAAAAGAGACTTAGTTCAACTCAAAACGAAGAAGAGATTGGATTTATACCCCGCCCTTCACTACCCAAAGGTGTCTCAGAGCGGCTTACAATCTCCTTTCTCTTCCCCTCTCCACAACAGGCACCCTGTGAGGTAGGTGGGGCTGAGAGAGCTCTGACAGAAACTGCTCATTTTCAAGAACAGGTCTGTGACATCCTCCTTATTGAGGAGGACTGGTTTCCCTTTAAAAGTTCTCTTTAGTTAGTTTAACAGGGTAGAATCTGCTGCCACCAAGAAATTTTAAGGATTTCCAAACCTTTATGCTTTTAATTTTACTCTTACTGGTTTGGTAGACCGAGTTCAAGGCTTACAAGGAACCATGTGATCCTGGGAAGTATTTCTTTCAGAGCTGGTATACTTGAATGAAAGAGGATTTATTGAAATAAAGCTTAAATAATAGGGCAGTACAATGTAACTAGTAATAGGTAAATACTGAACAAATGCTTTGGTATCACACACAATCTTCTCTCTCTCTGACAGGGGACTTTCCATGTAACTTTGTAACACTTGTTTATCTCAATGCCATATACGTTTACTGTTTCACTCCAGTCGGTTATGAGACACAGACTTTCCTATAACTTTTCTTCACTTAAACTTTACTTTACTTTTCCTAGACATTCAGCTTTCAGATCTCTTTTCCTTTTTCTCTGAACAACATCAACAGTCAGCTTAACTGCCTCAACACACAACTGTTTGAACATCAACTGTCAACTTGTAACTGAAACTCCTGACTGACTCACATACTCATCCAACCAGATTCCCTTCCAAAAACCCCTCCCCCTCTCTGTCAACCACCAGTCATACCACACTTGCTTCTCTCAACCACTCTAGTCTATCTACCACAGCCATGCAACCAAACTTTTAAAGACACACACACACACACACAGAAACAAGGAATCGTTACAAGCTCTTATCAGAACTACGACTTGCCTAAGGTCATCCAGCCAGGTGCAAGTGGAGGAGTGGGGAATCAAACCCGGTTCTCCCAGATTAAGTCCGTGCACTTAACCACTACACCAAATGAGCAAGGCAATATAATGCATTTTTCGCAGGCACCGTCTCTCACCTCTCTGCATCATTGCCCTTGATGCGTTTCCAGGGTTCGTTGACCTGGAGATACTGGTTGCCATGGCGAGAGATGCTCAGGATGCTGCGCAGGGCATCACGGATCCTGCAAGATGGGAAAGGGGAGAAGTGGTCAGGAGAAGCTCGTCTCTATTCTACGCACACAGAAGTGACTGCAGGCTTGTAAATAAACCCTCATCTAATCATCTGTGGTGAACCCCCCATCATCTAGATTTAAGCAGGAAAACTGGCCAGGCTGGTTTTTCCCTTATTCTTCCAAACTCTCAGACAACAAGGTAGGCAGACTAGAAAGGTTCCGTGGACTTCCGTGACATATCCAGCCGCCTTCGTACTTATTTTTGTTTCACTTCATTTATACCCCTTCCATCTTCCTCCCCAATATGGACCCAAGGTGGCTGACATCACGCTCCCTTCCTCCAGTTTATACTCACAACAACCACCACCCTGTGAGCAGTGCTCCCTCTAAGCTGTGGAGTCCTGTGGGCGAAAATTGTACTTTGTGAGCTACTGGCATTAAAGCCGTGAGCGAGCAATTTGGCTACTGCATAAAACAGTTTGCTCCGGAGCCGTCCCTTCCTGAGCTAAGAGAAAAATCTGTGAGCCGGAGGCTAAAAAACTGTGAGCTGGCTCACACTAACTCAGCTTAGAGGGAGCGCTGCCTGTGAGGCAGGTGAGGGCTGAGCATGTGTGATGGACTCAAGGTCACCCAGGAAGCTACCATGGCAGAGTGGGGGGATCTGAACCTGGCTTTTTCATAGCTTAATGCAAGGGTGTCGAACTCATTTGTTATGAGGGCCGGATCTGACATAAAGGAGACCTTGTTGGGCCGGGCCATGTGTGTCATAAAAGGTAATGCCAGGTAGCGGAGATATAAACTTTATAAAGGACACAGACACAAAGGGTTTTTTTTTAACTTAAAATAAAAACATGCTTAGAACATGAGCACTCTTGCAATATTTTGTTTATTTAACAGCGTCTGATAACTGACACCCCTTGCTCTGATTTATTGCATCAAAATGTCTGTGCTGTTGCAATCTTGAGTATGCTGCTCAGCTGTGTGTATCTGTAAGCTGCAAACCTACGATGATGCAGCAGCGGCAGAACTGGAAGAAGCAGAAGACAGCCAGTTCCACTGCGGGCCTGATAGAAGCCCTCCGGGGGCCTAATCCAGCCCCTGGTCCGCATGTTTGACATCCCAGGCTTAATCTGTATTGTAAACTCAGACACAATGGACTTTCACTCCTCTAAATGCTGGACATGGACATGATTTCCTGTTCTGAACAGAGTTTTTTTGTTCCTAAAACTGAATGTAACAGGCTTAAAGACTGCCTGGAAGAAAGGGAACATACAATCATAGAGTTGGAAGGGGCCATACAGACCATCTAATCCAACCCCCTGCCCAATGCAGGAGCAGGACCAACCTAAAGCAACTCTGACAAATATTCGTCCAGCCTCTTCTTGAAAGCTGCCAGTGAAGGGGAGCTAACCACCTCCCTAGGCAGCCGATTCCACCTTTGAACCACTCTGACCGTGAAAAAGTGTTTCCTAATACCCAGCCGATACCTTTCTGCATACGATTTAAACCCGTTGCTTCGGCTCCAATCCTCTGCTGCCACCTGGAACGGCTCCTTGCCCTCCTCCAAATGACAGCCTTTCAAATATTTAAAGAGAGCAATCATGTCCCCCCTCAACCTCCTCTTCTCCAAACTAAACATTCCCAAAGCCCTTAGCCTTTCCTCGTAGGGCTCAGTCTCCAGACCCCTGATCATCCTTGTCGCTCTTGCTCGTTGCATGAATGTAATGGTACTTGGGGGGGGGGGATGTTTGTATAGTTCAACCGATCTTATTTATAGCTCAACACTGCCTGCCCCTTGAGTGGCCACACATGCTGAGAGTTCTCGTCCCTTTGAGTGAAAGCGCTGTCAAGTTGCACCCAATTTATGGCGACCACAAAGGGTTTTCAAGGCAAGAGATGAACAAGGGTGGTTTGCCACTGCCCACCTCTGCTTGGCAACCCTGGACTTCCTCGGTGGTCTCCCATCCAAGTACTAACCAGGGCTGACCCTGCTTAGCTTCCGAGATCTGGCTAGCTGACCATCCAAGTCAGGGCTCTGCTCTCTAGCACATCATATTGCTACTGCTTGTGCTCGGAGGACCCCCTCTGGTATCTATTTACTTCATTTATGTATACCCCACTTTTCTCCACAGTGGGGACCCAAAGCAGCTTACAACTCTCTTCCCTCCTCCACGTCTGCCTCAACCGGAGGTGACACCAAGCATCAGAAGCTGCCGTGGGCTGATAACCACGAAGACGTACCGAACCTTCTCCAGCAACTGATTGTACTGCCGCAGTTCCAGAGTGATGTGAGCCAGCAGGCGCTTGTCGTCCTGGTTCAGCTCCATGTCGGGGACACGTCCTCCGAAGAACTTACACACAAAGGATCCAGCTCTAGGAGAGGGGGAAAGGCAGATGAGCAATGTGCATGGAGAACGGACCCAATTTACAATCCTGAATTTCGGTGTAGCCATTTTAATTCACAAAAAGCGTGTTTGATACGTTGCATTGAATTCCTTTCTCTTTTTCTGGTATTCTGTGTTTGTGTATGCCTGGAAGTCATGGTGGACTTCTGGCGACTCCTAGTGGGCCTTGGACCCTTCAGAGAGGCGGCTTGATAATTGCCTATCTTTGTGTCCCGGCCCTGGTATTCCTTGGAGGTCTCCCTTTCAAATACTTGTCAGGGTCGGCCCTGCTTAGCTTCTTTTTTTTTTTTTTTTGGCCCCCGGAGGGGGTTTTTTTATTATCTTTTTATCACTACAAAAAACTACAACAGAAGAAAAGGGAAGGGAAACTACATATACAGGATAAAGTAAAGAACCCACTACTATCTAAAAACCCAAGAGAGGAGATCCTCCAACTAGCTTAGTAGACATCAAGTCTTCTCATCATTGATCCCTTCATAAACCGAGACAAACATTTATAATACTTTCCCCTTTAAGCTTAAGTTTAACTGTCTAGAAACAGTACCCCCAATCATCCCATAACAAAAGTCTCAAAGGCACATTTCAGAGTCCTTCAGCCTTTACTTCTCCTCCCCCCTTCTCTTCCGCAGCTTGTAAGGACTTTTGGGGGCTGCCCTGCTTAGCTTCTGAGATCTGACGAGATCGGGCTCGCCTGGGCTATCCAGGTCAGAGCCACTGCACTGTGTTTCTAATGATCAAAGCCGTACAGAATGCAAACTAGTCCACCAGTGTGATCCCTGCATTATCTTAATGCGATAACTTCTGGAAAAAAGTTGGCTGTGTGGCAGGATCTCCACTTTTTACCCATCATGGATGCAATGACCAATCACAAAGACGGATCGGAACTACTGCAAATGGAGAGGCACTTGCAGAATGGGACTTTCCTACCTCCCTGCTCTTGGCTGTGCCTGCTGAAACCCTGACACCGAAATTCTCCTCCTAGGGCTCAGGGACTCTCATGAACAGAATGAGAAGTGAGTGGGAGTCCGCAGAGTGAGTGTGTGTGTGTGCCAGTCAACAAAAGCCCCACCCCACTAGCATAGATGCCACTATACCAGCAAAAGAGAACGTTTAGACCCACAGCCCATGGTGGAAACTGCCAAACCTGAACTGCAAGATTGCCACTTGCATACATGAACAGTGCAACGCAGAAATTCAGCCACATGGAAGCAGTTTTTGAGAAAGTGATACTGTGTGCTCCTTGGTTGTGTGGCCTACACACTGTGTTCAGGAAGGGCTTTTCCCGAACACTTACCAAAAGCTCTTAGCTGAAGAATGCGAACACGTGCATTCCGGATTTGGTCACTGTCTGCAATGAACATAGAGTTACAGCCTATGAACCGCCAGCAGAAGACGCTGATGGAGGCAGGTCTTTCTCCCTTCCCCTAGCAACACCACATTAAGGCCAAGAAGGCAATGCCAAGGATTGTGCTTTGACAAGAACCTATACAATGTATGGAGCCACAGTGAGGAGAAGAAGAAGAAAAAGAAGAAGAGGAGATTGGATTTATACCCCGCCCTTCACTTGGAGTCTCAGAGTGGCTTACAAACTCCTTTCCCTTCCCCTCCCCACAACAGACACCCTGTGAGGTGGGTGGGGCTGAGAGAGCTCTGACACAAACTGCTCTTTTTCAAGGATAGCTGTGCCAGAGCTTGTGACCGACCCAAGGTCACATCAGCAGGTGCAAGTGGAGGAGTGGGGAATCAAACCCGGTTCTCCCAGATTAGAGTCCGCGCACTTAACCACTACGGGCAACAGTGCTCCCTCCACCTCTTATGTTAGTAGTGATTTTGCCGGCTTTCCCCTCCTTACTGCAGTCTTTTGTCCATGTATGTCCCCCATCCCTCCAGCACAGCCTTTTTGGAGCTTACATGAGGCTGCTGGAAGAAAAGGCAGGGAAAACCCACTTCAACCAGTGCCCTGCCTGAGAGTCCAGCTCACTGTTTCAAAGGTTTTGCATGAGCTATTTGAATGGCTGGTATCAACTCATTCCCCAAAGCCGTTCTACAAATTAATCAGACAGATATTGAAAACGGAAGACGATCCCGAATATTCATGGTTACTTCTGCTGAGAAACTGCTACTGTCCCAAACAAATCAGTGGGCGGGGAATGTTCAAGGTAGAAACTGACCATTTTCACTATGAAATGATGGGCTCCATTTATCACTTCCTGACACTTTAAATACAGAATGTGTATGAAAAAAGGGAAAGCTTTGGAATAGGTCTTAGAAGCCAGAAGACATTTGCTTTGTTTGTACTGTGTTTGATACGGATACTACCTATTAAATAAAACCAAATCCACCAGAAAAGTCACCCGGTGGGTTGGGCGAATAGGCTGCCCAGCTTTCCATAAAACCGCCCAACAGATTCCCTGCTTCCGGTTTCCTCTAAGAACAACACACCGTCAAGGTGCTGCACTCTCCTCTTATTGCTGTCTGGAAAGCACGCACGCACTTGCGGTGCCTCTCCCGCAGGCATTACCTGTTGACAAAATTGCCCAGGTTGTTGAGCAGCTCCGAATTGTTTTTGAGCATGAGGTCATTCCACGAGAAGGCGCTGTCCTGGCTCTCTGGCCGAACGAAGAGCAGGTAGAAGCGCCAGATGTCTGCCGGGATGCCCGTGTCCTTGGCCATGTCCCCAAAGACCCCGACGCCACGGCTCTTGGAGAATTTGCCGTCTTCGTAATTCAAGTATTCTGTGGAGAGAATGGGAGGTCGGAGGGATCCGAGAGGGTCTTTATATCCCACCTCCTCAGCCTCACCGGGGCTCCTGTGTTGCAAAAAAGATGACCTGAACCAGTCGACACTCTGTGTAGTCTTACGGAAGGCACCCAGCCAGGGTTGCCAGCTCTGGGCTGAAAAATACATGGGGGTGGAGCCTGGGAACGATGAGATTTGGGGAGGGGAGGGACCTCACCAGGGCACAATGCCACAGACTCCACCCTCCAAAGCAGCCTTTTTCTCCGGGGGAATTGATATTGGTCATCTGGGGATCAACAGCAACAGCAGATCTCCAAGGGCCACCTGGACTGTGAGCTGCCGCTCGGTTTCAGGCCACTAGATTTCGGAGCAAGAAATGAAAGGTAGAGGCAGGTGGGATCAAGCTCCCCGTGGCTGTACCTGTTGCAATGAGGTGGCTGACCAAGGTATAGTTTTCCCCGGTGCCCAGCAACGAGCAAGGGAACACGACGCTCCATAAAACCGCCCAACAGATTCCCTGCTTCCGGTTTCCTCTAAGAACAACACACCGTCAAGGTGCTGCACTCTCCTCTTATTGCTGTCTGGAAAGCACGCACGCACTTGCGGTGCCTCTCCCGCAGGCATTACCTGTTGACAAAATTGCCCAGGTTGTTGAGCAGCTCCGAATTGTTTTTGAGCATGAGGTCATTCCACGAGAAGGCGCTGTCCTGGCTCTCTGGCCGAACGAAGAGCAGGTAGAAGCGCCAGATGTCTGCCGGGATGCCCGTGTCTTTGGCCATGTCCCCAAAGACCCCGATGCCACGGCTCTTGGAGAATTTGCCGTCTTCGTAATTCAAGTATTCTGTGGAGAGAATGGGAGGTCGGAGGGATCCGAGAGGGTCTTTATATCCCACCTCCTCAGCCTCACCGGGGCTCCTGTGTTGCAAAAAAGATGACCTGAACCAGTCGACACTCTGTGTAGTCTTACGGAAGGCACCCAGCCAGGGTTGCCAGCTCTGGGCTGAAAAATACATGGGGGTGGAGCCTGGGAACGATGAGATTTGGGGAGGGGAGGGACCTCACCAGGGCACAATGCCACAGACTCCACCCTCCAAAGCAGCCTTTTTCTCCAGGGGAACTGACATTGGTCATCTGGGGATCAACAGCAACAGCAGATCTCCAAGGGCCACCTGGACTGTGAGCTGCCGCTCGGTTTCAGGCCACTAGATTTCGGAGCAAGAAATGAAAGGTAGAGGCAGGTGGGATCAAGCTCCCCGTGGCTGTACCTGTTGCAATGAGGTGGCTGACCAAGGTATAGTTTTCCCCGGTGCCCAGCAACGAGCAAGGGAACACGACGCATGAAGTTGTACAGTTCAACCTGGAGAGAAATAGGGAAGGGCTTGCACGATGCAAAGACACGCTTCTGCCTCGCAGCCAGAGGTGTACAGTGTGTGTCCATGGCCACCACAACTACTACTAGTGGGCTGACAGCCTGCCCCCACCCCCCATAGCAAAGGAGGCACCCCAGCCTGCCTGAGCCAGTTTGGTGTAGTGGTGAAGTGCACGGACTCTAATCTGGGAGAACCGGGTTTGATTCCCCACACCTCCACGTGCAGCTGCTGGTGTGACTTTGGGTCAGTCACAAGTTCTCTCA